CAGGCGGGAAAAACCCCTGAGCGTCGTAGTTTCAGGTTTGTAACAAATAAAAGAGAAATCCCATCACAAATTACTAGCAAGTCTCATATATATATATATATATATATATATATATAGTCTAGTATCAAGAAGTGATATTTTCTCTGGCTCGTTTTTTTAATTTAACTATGTCATTATAATAGTATCAGATGCACAGCCAGAAGCTACATGTCATTGCCAAATATAATTAAAAATCATTACATTATATGGCATCTTAAAATAATGGGCTGTTGCCCATAAATGTTTAATTTAATGTTCTGTGGGCAATAAATAGAATAAAACAAGGGAAAGACTGATGAAGAAAAAGTAGCCAACAATTCTATAAAAGTAAATGTTATAAAAAAGAAATTGCTGTTGTTTGGAACACAATACATATATAATGTGTTTATTAGCCAGTTGCTAACCCTAACCCTGATGGAGAAGGCTTCATGCTCGGTATCATAATCGTAAGCAAAAACCTTTGGAAGCAATGATTTTAATTAGCAAGTCCAGATGTACGTTTGAATATTGTACATTGAGTATTTCTAATGGTTATGAATTTATACTTGCTGTGAACAAATGGTTTAGTATTGACTTGTTGTTTTGATTTAATTTTGATTGACTATAGCTCACAAGCAGTCAATATAGACTACATGATTCTTATTCTTGGATCTTGTCTCCTCTGAAGACAATATTTTTCTGGAGGTGTGAGCTCTGGGAAGAGGTGACGAGACACAAATTACCATCTCTGAGATACTTAAGTCTATTAATGATGCCAACATCAGCTTGCATCCCCAGACAACCTTTGGGAACCCTAATACATTTGGTTTTTGGGCACTCATGTTCATGTAGCAGTCCAGAAGATGTCCTAATCAAGGACAAGACAGTCCAACATGATACTGGCAGAGAGATGGACAGCCCAGTGCCAGCCTTTACCAAATCAAGCCCCGGCAGACTGTTCCAATCTGGGACTCAAGGGAGAACGAGACAGCCTGGAAAATGAAAGACAACAGATTTGTTTGCCAGTGGAGCCAATGCCATGGAGGAGGGTTTCACAGGCCCACACCAGCCGTGGCCCAAACATCTTCCTCTCTACTACATCACAGGTGCCGCTTCAAAAATGAAGTAAAGGAAATAATAATAAGAAGAAGAAGAAGGAGAAGAAGAAGAAGAAGAAGAAGGAGAAGAAGAAGGAGAAGAAGAAGAAGAAATATACATACAAATGACTTGGTTTAGCCTGTCAGGGTTCATGATGCAGATTTTGGAAGGATGTGAAGTCAACAGAGGAAAGTATTTGTGGGAGGAGAGTGATGGAGTATAATTGGTATTCTGTGGTGTCAGAGGTAAGTGAGACTACACTAACCCCCGTGTGCCCCCAGGTCTCCTTAACATTAGAGAACCTGTTTCACCCTCTAATTAGGACATGCATATTCTAATTAGGAAGCATCGCGGTGAGGAGCGTGTTGTTGTTTAGGCTCCAGTAGACTTACAATATTATATTGAGAACGTGACGAACAAAAAGGTGTTATGAATATTAGAGTTTGTTTACACTTGGGGTATTTGGTTAGATTCAACTTTTGCTTTGGTTGGTCTGTGTAAATGATGAGGATTCCAGGGTACAACAAGAAAGTACATAGAGAGTACAGGTGTGTGATGTGTGTTATTTCCCATCAAGCAGAGTGAATTGAACTAAGTGGAGGTGCAGCACTTTTTAAAGTAGGGACATGGACTGGCCTGGTTTTGTGAAGATGTTTCACCTTTCACCATGCTACTTCAGCTTTAACTGACGGCTGGTAAAATCCTGATAATTACCCTCTGAGTAGCTGGATACCTGAACAGGTGTGAAACAAAGCAGGTGTGCACATCCTGAACCACTGAGAGAGTGCTGTATTCACCTAGGTTAATGTGTGAAGATGTTGGAGTAGCGGAAACCCCCCAGGTTGGTTAAAGTGTGAATGTGTGGTTGTTGGTATTGCCTGAGAGACACCACTGACTGTGTGTTTCGTGGAGTCTGTCTGTGTTGTTTTGTATGATGGCTGAGTTTTCTGGAAAGAAAACTCAGGACCACTTTATAGGTGGTTAAACGTTGTTGTCTTAAAGCTGCTCCTCTGTTGAGCAATGATTTCTTCATACTGACAGAGAGCAACGATCTCATACCTGACCAAACCCACTGGCATCAACACAATTTCCCTATGAGTTTGGCTCATGTCAGCTTACAAATGGAATTAACTTAAAATTCTAAAAAAAAAAAAAAAAAAAAAAAGCACAGAAGCTGCGGATATAAAATTAGCACCACGGACAGCTCCAATTCAGCACTAACTGTGTGACTACTTAGCACAGGGGTGGCAAACTGTTTCACAAAGGGCCATTGGGGCTGCAGGTTTTTGTTCCAACCTATCCAGGTATCCACAGTGACTGACCAATCAGCTGTCTGGAGATTCAGATCAGTTGATTAAAAGAGCCAAATCAGATGTGCTGCTGCTTGGTTGGAACCAAAACCTGCAGCCACAGCGGCCGTTTCTCGAACACCCCTGACTTAGCAGCTTCAACAGGAAGAGCTACAGAGATGGAATGAAAATAAAACACTAGGTAAGGTAGGAAATAACAAAAAAAATCTCAAACTAATTCACTTTTCACAGCTTCAGTTGCCCTGTCGACTTTTATATAGTTGGATGTTGAAGATACAGCCGTGGTTGTAACAGGGGTGTGGATATGAACATGTGCTCATGTGTCTGAGCCTGTTCCTGTGTTTGTGTTGATGACCTTGACAGCAGGTGGGTGAAGTCCCAGGTGTGACCCAGTTTTGGTAGGAGGATCAGAGGCAGGTGGGACTGAGGCTGGTTTGATGTGTCCAGATTAATGAGCTTTCCCTCACACTCATCAGCTGCTACTGCTGCTACTGCCTGGGCCAAGCTGGAAACAGGGACACAGAGCTGGCCCGTGTTCACTAGACTCATTTATATTGTCACACAAACCTATCAGGCTATCAAGCCATGCCAGGCCTCTGTAAAAATTGGATAAGAAACAAGCGCTGATGCATTGCATTGTTCTGTTATCAAAACCTGCTTCTATTGTATTAAATACACTGGCCTTACTTTTATTCATACCCTATTTTAATTTCCATTGTGTGCTGCCAGGCCAGATTTAGTGGTGAGCTGCACCTCGAGACTTCTCAGAATAAAAACATTATGAGACACAGTCATTGTTGTGTCCATGATGCCATTAAAATCCACCAACTAAGTTATGAGGACGACAATCATCCTCATAATACCAGTATATGAAACTGAACATTTCCAAAATTTTACCCGTACCCACATCTTTTTCTCTGGTGCTCCAGAGGGAAGGACACAGGAAAATCCAGTAGGATGAATGATTTTAAACGCTAATACCCACAGCTATTTTCTCTTCTATGATTTTAAACGCTAATACCCACAGCTTCCTGATCTAGTTAGAGGAAAACAAAAGTCAACAGTGCATCATTAGTGGAATAAAACAGAAGACGGAGCAGGGACTCTGTGTGCAGTCTTGGTGGCAGAGTGTGGGATGATAAATAAACCACAGCGAGAGCAAGAAATACACAGCAGCATTTGATGACACAAGGGATGGAGGATGAAAACTGCTGCACACGGGTTACAACCATTTATGAACCCATCTGTATTAAAGTGACCTGTTATCTTTGAAAAAAAAATTAAAGGCATAAAGTAAAGGCGATAAAAACATTTTATTTATACAATGCTACATGTGTTGTCAGTAAACCGTCAAGAAGCTCTGGATTGAAGCGTTTCTGGATACTCTAAAACATTTTGTGAGACTGTTTTCTCTCTGTGTTTTCCTGCAGGCACCATACCATTCCGGCACCAGATACAAAAGTGTACCAGTAGAGCTGCTAACCTGTGTTTGTCTGATTCAATATTGCTCAGACCATGAGAGACACAATCTGGTGTGAAGCACCACTTGACTGTGTGTGGGTGAGTAGATGTGTTGCAAGGTCATCCTTGAAGAGAGGCTTTGTGAAATAATAAATGACTGAGTAGAGGCACTGTGCTGTTTTCAACTTTGTTCTGGAGTGAAAAGACCTCAGGGAGCAAGTTAACAGCTGACCATCAAATTAAAGGGAAGGTAAAATGGACAATGACCATCCTGGTTTGAAAGATATGGTTTCATATGACACGGTTATTTATTATTAGTTTTAAAAAAATACTAGAAGCCGTGTCTCTTGTTCAGGTCAGACTGGTGGACCATGTGTGTACAAGCAAATAATTCAAATTCACAGAGAAACAAACATCCAAAGATATTTAGTAGTTCATCAACTACATAAAATAATGTGTGCTGGACTCATCCCGTCTGTCTAGTGACGCAAAAAATGTTTTCTAATTTTTAAAAGCTCTCATGAATCAGACCATTATGACCACAGACTGGTGCTTCACTCAAATTGAATAGAAAAAATGGCAAAAATGTCCTTCGAAAAGTGAAGCACTTAGTATCCTCAGTTCTGAGAAGATAATAGGAGAGCTAAAGAGAAAAGGCAAATGGAATCTCAGGGTAATACACTTCATTGTTTCAGCTCTTGTGTTGCTCTTTTGTCTCGTCACAGGTGTCAACTTCTAAATTGGTTCATATTTTTTTAAAAATAATGTTCGTCTCAATGAAAACAGTCTTTTGTGTTTGTCTGAGCATTTTTACTTCTATTTCAACTTGGTCTTTCACTAAAGAGTTTTCTGAAATCTTGTGTTTCAGATAAAATGTTTTTCTGAGACAGGAGTCATGCAGGAACATATGAGTTTTTTCATGTAATGACACTGACCTCTCTGTCCAGACCTGCTGCTACTGTCACAATGTCTCCAGTCTCACTGTTGATGGTAAACATGTTGGGAATGGGGCTGTGAGGTGTCTGCGAGAGTATTCGATAGCGGACCATCCCGTTGGCTGTGGTGGAGTCGTCTGCATCGGTTGCCGTCACCTTCATCACAGATGAACCTGTGAAGAGAAAAACAGACACAGAGGGAAATGTAAAAAAAAAAATCTTTAAACAGATGAGTTTATCGGTATAAAAAAATAACAAAAAAGAAAGCCAAGGAGGTTGCATTCATTAACATACCAAAGCCCACACATAAACTTGTAAAATTCTGAACGTACAACCAACTGGAGGTTTCTTTCAAGTCCATAATTATTGTAGACAGAGAGCAGTGGGGATTCAGAGCAAGTTAAAATGACACTTAACCCATTTCTAAACAACAAAGAAGTCAATTAGACTTGCAAATTGTTCTGATATATATATATATATATTTTGTTTTTGCAACCAAAGGGTTAATACAGAGGTAAGACCACAACTCAAACAACATCTTTGAAATACGTGCCTATTTTAAGTTGTACTGCCTTGTTATCTATATATAAACCTAACCAACGGGGCAAAGTTTCCTTCGCTGCAGAATCCATTTAGTAATGAGCAGCCCTGGGTCTTCTGCCAGTTCTTCCATCCATTATTCCAGCTGTCAACAGCACTATAGCTGTCTTTATTGCTCCCCTGCTTTTGTCTTGGAATCTCAGATAAACACCGGCATTTAAGGGGAACTGCTCAGAGGTGCTGAGGTGGAGGAAGCGTGTGTGTGTGTGTGTGTGTGGCCCCACCTTCACTTACATTTCAGTCTGTGAATCTATATGCATGCTCTTGTTTGTAGTCCCGACAGCACACATCAGGGTAACAGGCCCTGTGTCCCTACATCTTCCCTGAACAGAATTATTGATTTGTGCGAGTTTGTCAGCTCAGCTCACAAATGGGATCAGGCAATTAGGAGCACTTTGTGCTGAGAAGAGGAGGGATCACCTCGCCTCTCACACACGCTTCTGTGAAAATGTCACTTTCCATCAGGCAGCCATTTACAGGCTTGCTGCTGCCGCTGCTGTTGTTGCTGCTGCTGCTGCTGAGAAAAGGAAAGAAGGACTGTCAGCTACCAGGAGGAGCTGAGGAGACATTAGAAGCACCAAAGTGCCTGGATAAAAAAAGGAGGCAGAAATGAAAAATCAAGACTTTTTTTTTTCCTCGACAGAATTTCTATATTTGACAAATGTAGCACTTCCGTATAAGTGCAAATTAATCTGTAAGTTAAATTTAGTTAATAGCATCTCCATAAACACATTTTGTATCATATTGGTTGCTTTTCTAAGGAGGGACCCAATCTGTTTAATTATCGTACCATAAGACATACATCTTATACTCTACTTGGAGTTAGAGTAAAAAAGAATGCTGAAGCTTCTTTTATTTACTAATGAATAAAAAAAAGAAGCAAAAAACCTTCAGGTGAAGCAGGAGAGCTGCGAGATTCATGGCCGCTTTAAAGACACCCTTAGGGTCTGAGCAGTTACAGGTGTCTCCATTGTCGTAATTGGGTCTAGATGGCACCATCATTCCTCTGACAGCTTGGCTGGACAGGATATTGTAGCCTTGACTTTCTATTTCAAACTTCATTAAGTTTCAAAGCAGGATTTGTCACTTTGTCCAGCAAGAGAAAGAGAGAGTCCGTGGGTAGACAGGAGAGAGAAAAACAATACTGCTCCTCCGCCAAGGACAGCCAAAATATATAGCCAACCTTTGCAGTCCTGCGGCGCGGCGGAAATTGTGTTGGTGAATCAAATGCCGGCCTTTAATTTCAATCACGATGATTCTGTAATATGATGATGGTGTGGTTTTTTTGATTCAAAGCGGGATGGTCATGCCTGAAAGGGTTAATCCCTGAGCAACCTTAATACCTTTTTAATTTGATCGCTAATTCCAAATCCTAATTGCTTTTCTGCCAAAACCACTGAAGCTGAAAATTCAAAGGTTGGAATTTTTTTTTACCCACATAAAGATGGATCACTGGTGAGGTCCACCTGCTAACGAAACATTAGCTGAACACAATCAAACGAGAGAAGATGATATAATAAAAGATGGACAAAAGACAATGATAGATAAAGAAGAGGAAAAAAAGAGAGAAATCAGCAAACAGAAGTCCAGAGGAACTATAAGTGAAGTTGTTAACAAAGAACTCAAAGGTAAGGTGAAGGGGACATCAGGGAGTTTGAGGTCAGTGCATGGTCGGTTTAAGCGGATAAAAGCCTTATCAGAAAAAGAAAGATAAAACCTGCCTCATAGAAGACAAATTGCTCATGGTACAGGTGATACAGGAAAAAAAGGTAAATTAAGAGCCGGGAGCGGAAAAGAGGGCAAGAAGCTAAAAGGTTGAAACCTTGTGGAAGTGAATAAAAGCAGAAATTGTCCACACAAATGCTGATAATTGACAGCGCTCTGTGAGAAGGACACAGTCAAACTCCATACACCGTTTTAAAACTATCCACTGCAGACCCAAGAAACAAACAAAACAGGTTTACAGACCTATGCCTGTTATTGCTGTTCAGGGTCAGACTATCAGTACAAATCAATAAACAGTTGTGTAGGTGTACTGTAAGTGGATGTTTTTACAGCTGCAATTCCGCTGGCCTTACACAAGTCACACACAACTACCCTGCTGCTAGCTAAAGCTAAAGCTAAAGCTAAAATGTAGCAAACAGGAAGTGAGGCCTACAGGTCACAGGACGTATCACTACCTTTTTAACCTTTTAGATCCATCTGATCTAAACTTGAAATGAACACATGAAAAAATCTAGTTCAACTAAACAGTCTGGTTAACTATGAAAGACACTAAATTTAAATTGTCCCACTTTATATATTCAGTGAAGTCTGAATTACAAGCTCTCTTCTGTTGTTTTTTTTTTAAACTCCTTTGTTTATATTTTTGTCCATTTAATTTCCCCTGCTATGATGTGTTTTGTAATTACCTGAGGCCAATATAATCTTGGGCATTAACAGGCGTTAACTGCAGACCAGAGAAGTTGCAGGTCATAAGCTGGTTGGTGGCGATCAGCCGACTAATCCTATCAGAATTTTGGAGCCAGAATTTAATGCAGCAGGATTAAAATACCTGCTCTCAAGACTATGTTCTCCATTCTCGTAACATTGTTGCCATCATTCACCTCTACTTGCCTTTATCACCCTGTATTTCCAAACCCTAATTAAACCCCATAAGACAAGATAGAATCTGGTTCTTAAATCTTCTGCAGCTATTAGCAAACTCCTCAGTAGAGGAACGGGAGAGTGAGAGAAAGAGGGCGTAAGAGAGAGAGAGGGATGTACTTTCCCCCGGGAAAGTAAATTAACTGCTAGAAAAAAAAACTTGGCTTCAGGTTTTGATCTCGGACACTAATTTCAAAGAGTCCATGAAAGGAAACAAGTTGCCATCAGATGTGGACATCAGGGAATGGAAGAAAAAGAACCTAAGATCACAGGGCAGATGTCCTGAGTTCTGCTTACAAAAACAAGGGCTTTTCAAGGAGATTTCAAACCTTTATCCTTATCCTAATAGGATGTGGCAACCACCTCATGTCACATGAAAAAGCTCTGCTTCTTTACCTTGAAAACAATAATTAAAATGTTCCTAGTTTTCAGAAGGCACCTCTATTACTTTCACGATGCACCTCATTTATTTGTCATTAATGAGACCTGCATGAGACCGTTTCCCTCTTTGTCGTGGACCATTATGTTGGGTTTGATTGCCTGAACAATTTACATTCTATTAGACACACGTTCATTTGGCGCTGAGCAGAAGGCTCCATCCAGCAGTTCTTGACAGACAGTTTGATCAGATCTCTTCCTGTGTAACATCTGGGGCTGGTGATAAAGGTGCTTGCCTGTAGGTGTTGATGTTTGATGGCTTTCACACAGCGGTGGATGTGAAGATGTGATGGAATTCCACAGAGAACCTTTGATATCCAGTCTCTAGATACGCAGTGTATCATGACAGCAGTTTGAAATGGATTTTCTCCTTTATATGTGACATTCAGTAGAAATCTTTTTTTTAATAAGATGTTGACTGCTACAAAATAAATTTCCCATTTACTACACAAGTTACATCGCGTTTCTAATGATTCTGCTCTGCAGTCATGCATTAAGGCAATGTTTCCCAACCACTGGGCTGTGGCACATTAGTGTGCTGTGAGAGATCACTAGGTGTGCCATGAAAATGTAGCCATTTTTGCTTAATTGGTTTAAAAACTAGAATTTACTTACAGCAAATTGGTCTTTGTTCGTTTATGCAACAGTGACTATATGTGGCAGCAGATGGCTATAAAAACTAAAACTCTTTATGTGTGTCTTTCTTCAATTCCTGCAGGTATTGAGTTGAGTTGAGTTCAACAAGTGGCTCACTCACAAAGAGTAAGTCAATTCTGACTACAATGAAACAAAAACATTTGACAGACATTTGATGATATGTTCATTTTTCCAATAGAAAATATTTGCCATGGCTCAAAAAAGCAGTAGAGAGTTAACCAGTAAAGAGTTAACAGTATTGAAGGTAATCTTTAGAGAGGACAAAGAAAACACACAGACATTAAATATATTACACACACAGACACACAAAAAAGAATCTGGCAGGATTGGAAAGGCGATCGATCAAATCTTTTTTCTTAACTAATAACAATAAGGTGAAGTGTCTATGGTTTCCAATGTGAGGGATTCTGATAAACGTGTAACAGAGGCTGTATGTCAACATGGTGTACTAGGTGTGGTGTCTGACAGCGTTGGTAGCCGTCAACATTCTGCAGTCCCAACAGAATGGAGAGCTGCCTCCACTCCTAAGAACCAGCAACCAGTGCCAATCTACACTCTGTTTTTATGTTATCACGAGACTATTCTGCTAACAGCAGCAGGAGACTAATTTATTCCTTATCCATCTCTGCCCACAGCAGCACACATGACCTGCAGAGCTGTGATATTTAAAACGCACTTCCTGTCCTCTGGTTTTGCCCAAAGAAAGACAAGATATATCCTTCTGTCATATTGAAATTTTATAGATAAAAACATAAATATGGTTAAATAGAATGTCCACAAGATCAATGTCTGCATGACAATTTATTTTCTTCCAATATAACAAAGTTTCATGAAGGTAAGTATGTGATTATTGTCAAATACAAAATTATAAAACTAAAAATAAAATGAAAGAAATATTGCAAAAAAATGAAATAAAATAATGTATATGTCTCTCTCTCTCACACTGATGGTAATATTAAAATTACTGATTGTAATTTTGTACAGAAACTCTCGTGTAGGTGTACCTGCTTTTGAACTCCATTTTGATTTCTCCTTAATTTACTAATGTTTCTGTAGTTTATTGTCGTGTCTGTGTAAGTAAAACTGCAGAGCAGTTTAATCTGCAGAGGAGTTTGGCCAAAGTCAAAGTGACATTAATTAAAGAGCACTGCTTCATGTACATGTCTTTAAGTTGGCTGTGTTTCTTCTTTCCTAACTGCAGATTCACTGCCAGAACTCTGCATCAGCAAAACCTTACAATAATTAGCCTAAGACCTAAGCTGTGTTTCAGTAGTAAACTAAAGAGATTGGCTAAAAACATATGGGAAACTCTGAATAATTATTCTTGTTTTCTTCAGCTTGGCAGACAAATATACATACACACACACACACACACACGTACAAACTGTGTTTTGACATCAAACTCCCTAACTATGACACCAGTGACTGATCTCCGAAGAGCTCTGTGAATGGAGTCATTTGGTTCAAAACAAAATATAACTCAAAGACTTTGTCGTATGTATGTTCTTCTATTAAACTCTGCAAAATATCAGAGAGTTAAAAAGAAAAAACTGCGGTGGGAACGTCTGGTTGCCCTTACTAATTAGGAGTTCTGTATGTTCTGTAGACCCACGCTCCACTGAGGGGTAACCGGTACTGTTTGATTTTTTTTGTTCTCTCTTAACACGCACACACACACACACATATGCTTGCTCATCCATGCACACGTACACCGGCACATCATGTTTCACATATTGTTTACAAATCCCTCTGAGATTAACCTGCGGCAGAACATTATCGGAACACCACGCAGACACACACTGGTCCTCTGCGTCTGATTGTTAGAACCAGGGTTCTTCCAGCTGAGGCACGAGCGCTACTTGCACAGTCTGCTCATGTCTCTCTCTTGGCAATGACCACAACACTTTTCCCGCTGTTCAGAAGGATGTTCTACTTCTCTTCATGCTCCGAGTAACTATGATAATAATGTATCCAGCAAAAACAAAAATACATCTCTGATACAAATATCTCATGAGCCTTCTCTCATACAAGCCAAGGTTTAGTTCAAGGCAGATGCAATACCCACAGATACATACATATAGTTCCCCTTGAAGGGCTGATTGTAAATGGAAGACTGTATAAATGTAACCGCTCCACAATGTATTAATATATGTTTCTGCAATTGATTATTGTTTAGTCGAGTTACAAATATTGTTCATTGTGTAATAAAAAACACGTTTAATTTACCAGGTTAAAAATTTCTGCTGCATCGACTTTATTAAATGTTTTTTATGGTCTCGAGGGGCCATAAAAAATTACTTGGTTGATCTCATTTGGCCCCCGGGCCTTGAGTTTGACACGTGGTCTAAGGCATTTCCCATCTACATTGGGATTTTAAGGGTTTTTTTTTATGTCACAACCCTCCTTGAAATGTTGCAGAAAATGACCAGTTTTGTGTTTGCACCAAACACCAAACAAAGGAAAAGGTTTCTATTTTTACTTATTTTTGTTAAAAAAAGGTTTTATATTATTTGATTTTCTTTAATATTCTTTTTTTTTTCAAAAAAACATTGACAGGATCACACCTGCTGTTTGGACTACTTTTAAAAGCTGTCCAATGATAAACAATCTGCACACACTGACAAAAACTCCTACCTGGTTTGGATCCTTCCGCCACGGAGCCGTTGTACACCTGGTTCTGAAACTCTGGCCTGTTGTCATTCATGTCGATCACATAAATGTACAGATCGATTGGATTCTCTACCTGGTTACCATTCATATCCACTGCATGGGCACGAAGCTGCGAAAGAATGGAAAAGAGAACAAAGGATATTTAGTTTTGAACGACGTCTGAAACAAGAAAGATTTGGGTGCTGAAAGTGAAGCAAAAGGTGAAGGATGAGTAGCAGTCAGCCAGTAGCAGTGATGATGGTACTGGTAGTCACTGGTAACAATTCATGTCCTTAAAAATAGACTTTTGAATCGAATCCATACTTAAGAAATTATTTGTGATTTTAACTCTAATATTATGAATTAATATGGAAGCTGAGAATTGGATTTGATCATGGAATCTGTCCTCTATCTGTATTTGTCTAATTTGGTGCACGTCATTATGGCACAGGTTTTACTTTGCTTTTTGTGGGGCACAGACATCCCGTGGGTATCTTGGCATCGACAACATTAAAAAACAAACAAACAAAAAGAACAAAACACAGGGACGAGGTGGGGAAATGTTCCCGTCACAAACAACACACATTTTGCTGTTAGCACAGCCAGTGTCCTAAAGGATATCAGAGAGGTGTTGCTGTTCACGCTGTGGATTCATTTTGTTTGGGCGGAATGTTTTCCTCAATTTGTTTTGACAAAGTTGCTCAGTGATGAGCTGTTTCCTGATGGTTCACAGTGTGAGAATGGAGAGAAAATAAAACGAATAACGTGTAGGAAAAACAACGGACATGGAACAAGACGGGAAAGAAAAAAGGAAAATGACTGAGCCTTGTGCAAGTAAATGAGAGGTGAAAATACAAAGAGGCAGTGTGGGGGTGTGAGGGCTGGAACAGGGAGGACTGACAAAAGCAATCATCATCTGCAGTGGGATGTCTTAATCTCCACTGCTGCTGTTACACAGCCCGTCCTCCCCACCAATCCCCGCTAATGATATCTAATGCAAAGCTTTGTAATAGCCTGGAACCAAACTGACACTGTTCACTATGACTTACATTACTCCCCCATTAATCGCCTAAAAAAATATATCCTCTGCAGACATGTTCTTCAATCACAGCTTGGATTGGTGGAACGAGAAGGGGTTTGTCTTTGGCTCTCACTGCTACGCTGGCAGTGAAATATTCCATCTGCAGCACAGTTGTGGAGGTTGGCGATGCCAGCCTATTTACAGTAAGTCATGATGTATTGTGAGGCGAGCAACGGAAGATTGAATGGCAGCACCTGCTTTCACAGCCACAGAACTAATCATGTCGCTTTTTGAGGCAGCCTGTTGAGGACATATCAAAACACACCTTTCCACACCTTTGCTGGGGCACACACCCCCTCACACACACACACACACACACACACACGCAGACACACACCTACCACATGTTTATTCACATTAACATGGACATTGTCGCAAGTGCATGCAGGCACACCAGAGCGACAAGCAGACGATCAAAAGAGCCCTCTTTAGCCAATTAATGAGCCTCGAGATGCTCGTTTTCCATTGGCTGAAGCACAGCAAATAAACATGGAGAGGATACACAACATACAAACAAGCACAATCTGTTTTCTCAGCTGTGAGCACTGCATGCTGAGGGATTTGTGAACGCTTCAGCACGTGTGTGTGTGTGTGTGTGTTAATTATAGAGCAGTTTTGTTTCTGTGAGAGAGCGTTTATTTGTCCGTTTCATGTAGCTCTTCGAATGTGAGAATTTCAATATTTATGTCTGTATATTCAATTTATGCAGCTGTGTGTGTGTGTGTGGGTGTGTGTGTGTGTGAGTGAGGCGGTGGAGTTTGAAGTTTGTGTCTGTGTTCTAAAATCTGGAACTGAAAACATGACCTAAGGGCCAGGTGGAAGGAATGTGCGGTGCAGATGAATTGATGTGTGTGAGCAGACATCAGTATTCTACCTGCTGATCTTTAGTGTGACTGGAGTAACCGCAAAAGAAAAGTAAAGTTTGTGTTTGACCCTTTGGTACTTTTACTCTGACTGCTACATAACCTTGACAGTATTCTGGTGGAATCTGAATATAGTACTCTCTCTTGACTGAGAAGATTGAGTTGCTGCTATGTAAGCTACATCCTGGATTCATAAGATCAGTACGTCTCTATCCTGCTGTGTGAGACTGGTGGACGGTCAAGCGGCTGAGTCCCCACTCCAGTGGTCCGATGTATTCACATACATCAGAAAAACTGTGGGCGTTAAAGTACGGTTTTAGAATGTGCACTGCAGTATTCTAATAACCTTGAAGGATCAGCTTGTGATCCTTGAACGAGACCTTGGGTTGTTTTTCTATGAATTCACTTCAAAATATTAACATCTGCAGGTCATGAGTTCTGCTTGTTTTGAAAGTGGAGTTCCTTATCTAGGCTTTTTCAGGTTGAATCCAGCTTGACCGGATTCAACCTGATTTTAAAGACTTGGCAGAAAGTGTACACGTCCTACAGATATTGTTCAGTAGAAGTTAATTAACAGTGTTTCCAAAGGTGGGAGGTGGGCTTGGA